GTGTTCTTGGTTAGAAGTCTCTGTACCACTTAAGAGCAGAGGGTTAGCTGGCCCACGCTGCCCTGCAGTTTAGAAATAAAACTTTAAAGTCAAAGGACAAGAGTGTAAAAAGCAGATGTTTATTTTAGGAGTTTATTTCCTAATAGTAAATGTAAGAGCAGGATAGCAAGATGTCATAGAGGCTGATGCCAGCTCCGCCTTGCCAGGTTTTACTGCTCATCAGAATTAAGGACAGCTTGCTGTCAGTCAACATGGCACCCCGCTTCGTAGGCCTGAGATAGTGCTCCACACTCCTCTTGTCCTCAGGACTGCCTGTGCTGCTGCCTTCTGGGCACAGTTTGAACAGGGCCTGAGTTGGGAGGCATGGGCTGGGTGTGGGCCGCTGGGGTGTTCTTGTCTGTTGGGGAGGACAGCCATCTGAGACAAGCTCTGGCCTAGAAGGCGACACTGGACATTTGCGCTGTGCCTCTCCCACCACTCCTCAGCTCACCTCTCAGCAGCTCTGGGGCCCTGCTAGATACCCTCCACCAGTGCTCAGGCTCGAGAAACGCTGTTAGGAAGATGCTTCTCTTCCATTGAAGTCGCTCAGTGGCACCTGTTGGTGCTCTTGTAGAGCAGGACCTGGTGTTTCTGTACAACCTCGAAGTACTAATGCATCATGTTTGTTGTGATGCATCAGAAGCGAGCATGTCGAGGACCTTGTCCATTGATCTGAGGTTCTCAGTGGGGATGCAGGAACATGGGGCTTGAGTCAGGGGCCATAGGCAGTGTCAAATACCCTCTCCTTCAAAGGGTGTGAGGACAGCCACACCATATCTAACATTTCCAGAGAGCATTGTTTTATTTACCTGAGCTATGTACTGCAGTAGTTTTAAAATTCGCAAGTCAAGCATAGAGGTGTGTTGAGTTAGAGGCCCTGTGGTTCAGGCAGACATCATGATGGTACTCTGAGTATCTTGACTGAGCTGTCTAGGACAGTCTGCAGTGCTGGTGCATGAAGCATGGGCAGCCCTTGCTGGAGTGGCTATGCTTTTCTTGGCCAAGTGCTTGAAAAGTGTTGAGGAGCCTTCTGCTGTATGGTCATATGACCATGGAGTGACCTAAGACCTGGTGGTATGCCATGGAAGTCTTCTTCAGCCTGGTTTTTGGAAATGCCAAATCTGCTTCTAGGAATCCCCTGCAGGCCTGATGGTATTTACTGAGACAGGATCTTGGAATGCTCATGGCTTTTCTTTGATCCTGAGATGGTAGAAGGTTACCTTCCATTAGTTCCCTACCATCAGATTAAAGTAAATCCCCAGTAATTTTACTTGAATTATTTCAGCTTGTATTATTTTCTAGGGAAAGTTACTTTAAAGTCACTATGGTGCTTTTATTACACCTAAAACATTAGATGTAATCCTTTAATATCAAATGTCTAGTCCATCAATTATTTCTCTTATGTTGTCAATTCTCTTATGTTGTAGTGTGTGTGTGTGTGTGTGTGTGTGTGTGTGTACACGTACGTGCGTGTGTGAGTGCGCATTTGTGCCTATACCTCTGGAGGACAGAAGTTGACATCATGACATCAGGTATATTCCTCAGTTATTCCCTGTATTTTGAGACAGATCTGCTCTGGAACTCCCTGAACTCCCTGGAACTCCACTGCCCTGACTGGCCGGTTTTCTCCTCTCAGTCCTGGGATTACAGCAGTGCCCTGCTTGCTCTGCCCAGCCTTTTACATGCATGCCAGGGATCTGAACCAAAGCCTTGTGCTTGTGCAGCAAGCACTTTGACTGAGGTCTCTCCTAGGTCCAGTGCGCTGTAACTTTTAGAAAAGCTTTTTCCATGTTGAGTGACAACACATGCTGGAGACGTTGTGGAGAAAGGGAATCCTCCTCCACTGCTGGTGGGAACGTAAACTTGTACAACCACTTTGGAAATCAATCTGGCACTTTCTCAGACACTTAGGAATAGAGCTTCCTCAAGATCCAGTTATGCCACTCTTAGGCATATATCCAAAAGAGGCTCAAGTTTACAACAAGGACGTTTGTTCAACCATGTTTGTAGCAGCTATTTGTAATAGCTAGAAGCTGGAAACAACCCAGATGCCCCTCACTTGAGGAATGGATACAGAAATTGTGGTACATTTTCACAATGGAATACTACTCAGCAATGAAAAACAAGGAAATCATGAAATTTGCAGGCAAATGGTGGGATCTAGAAAAGATCATCTTGAGTGAGGTTTCCCAGAAGCACAAAGACACACACAGTATATGCTTACTGATAAGTTGATATTAGATGTATAAGAGTGGTTTTTATTTTTAATTTAGAATTTATGTGCTTGATTGAATATATTCTTATGTTTTGTTGCAGTTATTTTTGTTCAAAAAGTTCAACTTCGGCTAGTGCTAATTTTTTCGGTTGGTGCTTTAAGGGTCTCAACCTGACCCATGGTTTGCGGGTCTTTTTAGGGCCTCTCACAACATGGCGGGTGACCTTCCCAGTCACCAGGGTTCTAAGAGGAGGGGCAAGCATAAGATGAGATCCAGCAAGGTAGACATTACAGTCTGTTGCGATCAGCCCCAGGAGTGTTACTTGGCCTGTCTGTGTTCTAGTCGCTGGAAGTGGCTCACTGAGTTCAGCTTACTGCAAGGGGAGAGGAACCCAGAGGTTGTGAGCACTGGGGAACATCCCTGCTGGTTTTAGAACTTGCCTTCCCACCGTCTTAGTGACCTCCAGTGGCCCTGCTTTCTTGAGTGAGAAGGTTTAGGTATTTAGATTGAGTAATTTCTTTAAGAAGCCCTGAGTTCTTTTAGTGGCAAATGGTATTTACTGGCTACGTTTTGAGTATGTGATTCTGGCTCTTTTCAGTAGGCAGAACTAGGGGGTTATTTGTCCCTATCTGAAATGTCTGGGAACTAGATGGTTTCGGAATTCAGATTGTTTCAGATGTTGGAATGTTAGCATACAAGGAGTGAAATAGCTCAGGGATAGGACCTAACTAATCATGAGTGACACTTAAATGCAGTTTTTTATAATATTTCATGTGCCTCCATTTTCACTGTGACCTGTCATATGAGGTCATGTGTGAAATTGCCACTTGTGGTATCATGTCAGGGTTCTTGAAGCTTTCTAGTTTGGAACATTTTGGATTTTAGATTTTTAGATTAGGAATATACACTCTGGTTTTTTTTTTTTTTTTCATTTGTCTCTCTTGTTCTCTCTCCCCCTCTCACCTTCCCTCAGTCCCTTCCTTAGTCTTTCTTTCATTTAGATAAAGTTCATGCTACAATTTCCCATTCAGAATCCATACCTCATCCGTCTTTTGTTTGTTTGTTTTTTAATCTATAGGCCTGCTGGCAGTAGCTCTGAATGATGCCAGCATAAGTATTCATGAATTATTTCAGAGTGACCACCAAAGATAACTAATCATGTCATATTGCATAGTCAGAATTCTCCATGGCTGATAGAGATGTCCTTCTACTGTGCTGTACAAAGTTTAATTCATTGTTTTCAACTTTCTTTTGAATTTTATATTGTTTAATCAGATTTATTTTTACATGCATTATTTTTTTAAAGATTTATTTATTTTATGTAGGTGAGTGCTCTATCTGCATGTACACCTATATGCCAGAAGAGGGCATCAGATCCCTGTATAGATGGTTGTGAGCCACTATGTGGTTGCTGGGAATTGAACTCAGGACCTATGGAAGAGCAGACAGTGTCCTTGACCCCTGAGCCATCTCTCCCACCCCACATACATCATTTTTTTTAAAGTGGTCTATAAATCAAGTAATATTCAGAAAAATCTTGCTCCTGTATTGCCCCTTCTCTTCCAATTTCTTCTTTCTCCATATGTAGCCTTTTGAAAAAGACTAAGGTTGTCATTTTGTTCTTTACATATAAGCAATATCATCCTATATACATTGTCTTTGAACTTTGGATTTGACTTTGGATTTTGTCTCTACACCTATTATAAATTAAGAATATAATAAACCACAATGTTCTGGGTGCATTTAGCCTACAGAGACTTTCAGCTTGTTACCACAGTATAATATGCAGGGAATACTATAGGGTATATGATTCCGTGGCCATTTGGCATCTGACTCTGCAGCAGCTGCTGCCTGGCATCGCTAGAGAGAAGTGGAGTGCATGGGTCACTAGTCTAGGAGATGTTAAAAATTCAGAATTCAGGTTAGGATTAGTCTGAATGTGTGTTAGTTTTACTCCTGAGTAAGAGATACTGAAGTCAGACCATGAGGGGCCTGTGTGCTTTTTCTGCCTTTCACTCTGCTTAAATCATGTGTCTTGGTGACTGTGTCATAATGCCAGAGAGATAATGTTGTCAGTCCTTTTTGATTGGCATGGCATTCTTTTATGGATAAACAGTCTTCTTCTTCTTCTTCTTCCTCTTTTCTTCTTCTTCAGATGTGATGTCTCCATGTAGCCCAGGGTGGCTTTGAATTCATGGTCTTTCTGCCTCAATCTCCTAAATCCTGGGATTATAGGCCCTTGCTACTTAATATATAGTGCTGTTCTGGAGAATTGAGCTCTTCAGAATTTCACTGCCTCCCTGTTTACTGCTCTGTAAGAGTTCCCAGTGGATTAAGGTGCTGAGAGGAGGGGCAGAACACTGCTGCTCCTGGGAATAGCTACAGTTGTGAGCACCCAAGCTTTTGACTTAGTTTTCATCCAGGATGAGAGAGAGAGGGCTGCCTTTTGCATGATGCTCCGTCCTGCATGGTGCCTGACATTTTCATTGCTGACATGTTGTCTTATAGTTAGAAAAAATTCAGATTTTGACAGCACAGTGACTGGTTAGTCATTGTTTCTGATGATAGCATCTGTGTTATATGTCTTCAGGTTTATAGTTAGCAAGGATTTGGGAGCAGTGTTATCTGGGATTACTTTTCAGATGTCATTTAAAGAAAAGACCCTTGTGTGAAAAGCAAATGAAACAGGTTTGTTTCAAAATAATCTTTTGTCTCCTAACCTATATTGTTTTATTTATGTTGTAGGGAAAAGGACCTGGAGGCCAAGTTTATCATTCAAATGGAGAAAAGCAAAACGACAATCACAAACTTAAAGGCAAGTGATGCCTGGGCCCCGCTGCAGCTCTGAGAGCTCCACACTCACTCTCTGTGAGGCTGGTGCAGATGGATGAGGCCCCTGACCCTTCTGCACCTCCGAGTTAACGCGCTAACTCAGTGCAGTTAGCAGGGTCTGTGTGCTCTCTGCTGAGGCTTAGGCCTGAAGCCGAAGCCTTGCCCTGAGGCTGGTGCCTTTCTCTCTCCGGTTTCATCTGGTCAGACTGAAACTGTTTCTCTGGTCTGTGAAAAAGAACTTGTCATTTCTACCCTGTATTCTAGCCTGATAGTTGCCTGTATTCTGTGAAGTTCTGAACCAATGTTGACCCTAGATTTGTTTGTTTTGAGACAGGATCTCAAATAGCATAGGTTGGACTCAAACGTTGGATGAGTATGACCTTGAACTTCTGATTCTCCTGCCCCATCTCCTCCGTGGTAGCATTGTGTACATGTACCATCAGGCCTGGTTTGTGCTCTGCTGGGGATCAAACCCAGAGCCTCATGTGTGCTAGGCAGGCACTCTACCAGCTGGGCTACAGCCCCAGTTCTTCATTCTGCTTTGTTAATGATAACCCATCATGTATTCTGATCCGTGATGATCTGACAACTATTGTTTTTCATTAACTGAGAAGATGAAAAAGGAAACAATAAAAGCTGCATTACTTTCTGGGAAAAATTAGATGAAAAAACAATTTTTCCAAAATGGTACATTCTTCTTTTTGCCTTTAAAATATACTCTTTATTTCATTAGCATACTGGATAAGGAAGGACCTTGAATGCTTTTTACTCAAGGAGGAAGCAGGGTTATAAAGTAATACTAAGACATCTTGTGCTTTCAGGGCTTAGCACTCTTCAGATCTTAGGGTTGGGCTTCTGAGGCCTGCTGCTCCATGGCCAAGTGTCTGAGGAATAGATTGCTATTAACTCATGGTCCTGGTCAGTGGATACCCTGAGATTACTTTCCGAGTAGTGCAACTTGCTCCCCAGAGACAGGAAAGAATAGTACTGTCTTCCCGGAGGCCTTGCTCTGGAGGCCTTGTGCCTTTGCTTGAGGAGTTAGTTCCCTGCTTTCTCCTTGTACTTACCAAAGAGTTCAGCACAGTCTGCCGTCTGCCCAAGCCTCCCTTCTTTGACCTCTCATCTTCTCAGGCCTCTTCTGGTTTTTCTGTCTCTTGCTAATAGCTACCTTTCCTTTACTTTATGCATCTTTGTGTTCACACTGCTTTGGTTGAATCCTCTTTCGTGTGTGTTACAGGATCTTTATTCCTTGATTACTCTGTTGCCCTTTTTGTTTTATACACAGTTCCTACTTTGATGACTTAGTAACTAGAATAGATGTCAAAATTTTTCTTTAAAATTTACTTTTTACTATTTTACTAATCTTTGTAAATTTATGCATATAACATATTTTGATTATATTCACCATTTGCCCTTCCTTCTCCTAACCCTCCCAGATGCCCTATCTTCTCCATGTCACTTTCTTGTCTGCCTGCTTTCCCAACTTCATATCCTTGTCTGTCTGTCTGTCTGTTTGTCTCTCTGTCTATCTTTAAAATATTATCCTCTGAGTCCAGTCTGTGCTACCTGTATAGTCATGGCTGAGGGACCACTGGAGGATGGTTAATCTACCAGGGGCCACAGCATTACAAAAGGAGACTTTTCCTTCTCCAGTAGCCATCAACTGTTCATAGCTCTTCACGAGCCCCTCCTGCTGGCTGAAATGTTGGCTGGTTTGAGTTTGTGCAGGTCTTGTGCAGGCAGCCATAACTCCTGTGAGTTCATGAGCACAGTGGTCTCTGGTCCTCCTGTCTAGAAGACTGTTTCACTCTAGTCCTCCCTAGACTCTGGCTCTTAAAGTTTTTCTGCGCTGGTTCTGTAATGGTCACTGGATCTCTGGGGATAGCATGTGATATAGATATTCCGTTTTTGGCTAAGTACTCTATAAATACCTTTTTTTCTGCACATTGACCAGTTGTGAATTTCTGTGTTAACCACCATTCATTGAACAAAGAAACTGCTCTGATGAGGTTTGAGAATTGCTCTAATCTGTGGATATAAAGATATACATTTAGAAGATACTTTGATACTATGTGCATTTAGCAAATATAATAGGAATAAATTTACCCCTGGGGCCTGTGAGTATCCTACCCATGGGTTCGTATTCAGATTCATCATAGCGGCCATACATTTCCTTCTGTCAAGTGGACCTCAAAGCCTGTCAGTAGTTGTTTCCTCTATAACATTTGTGCCACTATTGCACCCAGTAGAGATATTCATAGTTTTAATGTACTGTTTTTCCATTGTTAAGGTTTTTTTTTTTTTTAAAGGGAATTATGTAGAAAAGTACACTTTTCATTGAAGCTATTTACGATATGTCCAAGGTATAAGGTTTTGGGAATATCTGGATAGTTTTGGGGTTCAGTTTAAGCTCAGAGCATAGAATATAAGGTGTATGTAAACATCCGTGATAACCTCACACTATGATATATCTCCAGAGAGTTTTCATTCAGAAAAGAGAGAGATAGTTTTTTAGGTGGAGTAACAGGGAAACTTCATGGAAGAGGAGATATCTGACTTGGAGTTTTCATGGGATCACCAAATCACACAGCTCCAGAGGGCACCACCTTTATAGGAATCAGTGTTCAGCACCCCTGAAGTTGTTCAGTGTCCATCTCTGGGGTTACCTACTGGAGGAAACAGTCCGAGTCATGAAGAGAAGCAGACAGAGTGTGGTTGGACATTGTGTTCATGTCAGCTAATTGTATTAGTGAAGACCACAGCTGGCGGTGAGGATACAGACCCTGGACTTATGTTTTATTTACTTATCTTTATTCGATCTTGAGGGAGACCAATAGGAATTAAGTGCTGAGTTCATATATTGCAAATGTTGATCATCTCATGTGTTTTAGTTACAGATTTTGTTTCCTAATTTGGGTCACTTGTCAATCAACTTTACTCTTTATGTTATTATTATCACCTCATTTTCTTCTTATTATTATCAAAATTGTCTTTCCAGATCCCAGAAGGAGGAACTGGGGACTCAGGCAGGGAACGGACCAAGACCTTCACCTATGACTTCTCTTTTTACTCTGCTGACACAAAAAGTCCAGATTATGTTTCACAAGAAATGGTATGGTGTGACATTCTCAAAGTCTGCTTTTGTTGTTGTTTTCTTATCAAGAAAAACAGGATTGCCCTAAGATACTTAAAAGACCCTTACTACTCTTTTTGTTGAATATATATAAAATTAGCCTTTTGTAATTCAACTTTTTGATTATCAGATAGGAATACTCATATAAGCCTGATAATTTAATCTTTTAAATGTTATTTTTTTCACCATTTTAAGTACGATGATTATAACTTAAATGGTTTCAAAACTTGGATATGGGTTTCATCTTGAAGGATTCAAGATGCAGCATTTGGTGTCAGGAGTGTGACCTTGGTATACTTAAGTCTTGGAAATAAACCCCTAAGCCTGAGTCCTGCTGTGATACAGAGCATAGGAAATAAATATCAAACCAAGCCCTGTTTCATCTGTGCATCACTGTATGCTATAGAAAAGATTCCTGAAGGAATGCTTCTGCAGAGTCCACAACCTAGACTGACGTTAGTATTTGTTTAAGAAATAAATGTGTTCCACAGAGATGAGAACAAAACACCTCCAGATGACCTAAAAGACACTGATGATGACATTTCATTCAGAGCAAAAAGACAAGCAATAGTCCTGAATGAGCAAAAGCAGGACGTTGGAGGAGAGCTGGGTGTGCATTAACACAGGTGGAAGAACTCGGGCTTCATTGCTTGCTGGAGTATACGGGCATCATTCCTGGGCCTCTCCCTGTGTTCTCAGTAGCATTTTTACATATCGTAGATACTTGTTTTAGGTCTTCTTATGTTAACATGGATCCTTTTGACCTGGGTTAAAATCCTGAGTATGGGAGCATGAAAATACTAACATGTTCTGCATCCGAGTCAGTGGTATTCCCTGGGAACTTGTTAGAGTGAAGAATCTCAGGATTACCACTACCACCACCCCCCTACCTGCATGTTGGGATTAGGCATGGGCCACCACACCCCATTTGTATACATATACATGTATATACGTGATTTGGCAATATATATTTGGCAAGGCCTGCAGTGATTTGCATGCATTTTGACATTCAAGAAATGTATCTGGTTTAGAAGTGGTTCGTGGAGGAGAGACTGACCTTTTGAGGCAATGTAGATGTTGAAATTGTATCTAGAAGACTCAAACATCAGTAATGGGGAAGGAGGAATTAAAACTGTAGAAAGGGTACCTAGTACGATAGAGGAGTTGGTACAGGAAGAGAAACTGATATTTGAGTTTGCCTTGAATCAGACTTGGTGTTCTGTCATGTTAAATCCTCTGAAGAACCAAATAAGGTGGATTTTAGCTCCGTTTTGCTTTGTCAAGACATTCAGTGAGCTGTAGGAACTGGCTCAGGTTCATATACAGATTGTCTTTCAGTAGTGCCAGAGCTGAGTGTGTGGTGCTGATGTGAGAGGAGGTGGAGAAACCAGTGGAAAGCTTTTGTGTGGGAGAAAGGGAATTATTCCAGCTACCAGGTGCAAAGAGAGGGCAGCCTCCTACCACACACATAAATGAGGAAGGATGGCTGAAAAGAAAGGATGACTTTGGGTTCAAGATGGCTGGTTTGTCTACACTGAAAGTGGAGAGTGTGGCATAGAAGACTGTGGTTGTGAAACCCAGGCTGATGCTGTTACACGTGTGGGAATGATGTGATAGAGACAAGGAAGTTTTGAGGGGAAGCCAGTTTATTATAGTAATCTGCAGAATGCCTTCAGACACAGATGAATGGAAAGCCTCGACGGAGCTTCATTTTAACCTAGTCAATGAATTGTTGGGTTTCCTTGCTTTACTTGAACCCAGGGCTGTGCAGCGGGATGGAGAGCACTGTGTGGCTACAGGATAGGGTGTTTGCTGGGGTTGTGGAAGCAGGTGATGCTTTCTGAGGGAAGTCAGAAGAAATGTAGCCCTCCTCTTTGGAGTTAGACGACAACCTCCCGGGTTTAAGGGCAGATAGAGGCTGTGCAAAGCTTTCTGTCCACAAGGAAAGCACCAGCTTCTGGTGACTGCACAACATCTCTTGTTGGCGTTTCAGGGACTCTTACAGAGAGGAGCCCGGGATTGGTCTGAGGAATTTCCATGCTAAACACACTGCTGTTAACAAGCCATATTAGTAAGCCAGCATAGACACAGGAAAACAGTTGTCTTTAAAATAAGAGGTACTCCCCAGCCGTCAGTTAGCAATCACTAGAAGACTTCAGTATTGAGTGTCTACTCAGCTTTTCAGGCTGCCTGCAATAAGTGGGAGGAGAACAGAGCACTATGGAACCAGCAAAGCACTATCTGGCCTTCTTTCTTTCCTGTTCTGCTCTAATCAGCTGACTGTAAAACCATAGAGAAAATATAGTATGTCCACTACTCTAAAGTTTCATTTGTGTCTAAAAAACCAAACCAAACAATTATTTTAGAATTAGGGAAAAAAAAAAATCAATGAGCAATTTAAACCCACAGTCTTGTAAATTAAAGACCATTAAAGAAGGTCTTAATTTTCTTAATGCTTCAAAACTATAAAGGGAGGCTTTGATCTCATACTACCTGCTTCTTAATTCAGCCCTAGAGAAACTGGAACCCAACAGCCTCCCGGTTGTCCAGCTAGATGGCAGTGTCTTTGTTTCAGCAGTGCCCTCTTGTGGCTGATTCCCCACCAGCGAGGCCCTGGGATATCTTGGCTCACTCTTTTTTCTTTTTTCTTTTTCTTTTTTTAATTCTTTATTAATTACACTTTATTCACTTTGTATCCCCCCTGTGGTTCCCTCCCTCCTCCCATCCCAATCCTTCCCTTCCTCAACCCTCTGCATGCTTGCCCCTCCCCAAGTCCACTGATAGGGGAGGTCTTCTTTTCCTTCCTTCTGATCCTAGTCAATTAGGTCTTATCAGGAGTGGCCTGGTAATGCTGCTCCCCCCTCAGGGGCAGGCCAATCAGTTCATGTCAGAGATAGTCCCTGTTTCTATTACAATGGAACCCACTTAGATACTGAACTGCCATGGGCTACATCTGTGCAGGGGTCTTAGGTTATCTCCATGCATGGTCCTTGGTTGGAATATCAGTCTCAGGAAAGACCCCTGTGCTCAGATTTTTTGATTCTGTTGCTCTCCTTGTGGAGTTCCTGTCCTCTCCAGATCTTACTGTTTTCCACTTATTTCATAAGATTCCCTGCACTCTGCCCAAAGGTTGCCCATTAGTCTTAGCATCTGCGTTGATAGTCTGCAGGGCAGAGCCTTTCAGAGGTCCTCTGTGTCAGGCTCCTGACTTGTTCCCTCTTTTCTCCTTCTTCTGATGTCCATCCTCTTTGCCTTTCTGGGTAGGGATTGAGCATTTTAGCCAGAGTCCTCCCTCTTGATTAGTTTCTTTAGGTGTACAGATTTTAGTAGGTTTATCCTATATTATATGTCTATATGAGTGAGTATATACCATGTGCATCTTTCTGCTTCTGGGCTAGCTCACTCAGGATGATCTTTTCCATATCCCACCATTTACCTGCAAATTTCATGATTTCCTTGTTTTTTTTTTTTTTTTTTATTGCTGAGTAATAAGTTAAACAGCAACAAATCAAGTAATCCAATTAAAAAATGGATTACAGAGCTAAACAGAGAATTCTCAATAGAGGAATATCGAATGGCAGAGAAACACTTAAAGAAATGTTCAACATCCTTAGCCATAAAGGAAATGCAAATCAAAACAACCCTAAGATTTCACCTTACACCCATCAGAATGGCTAAGATCAAAAACTCAAGTGACAACACATGCTGGAGAGGTTGTGGAGAAAGGGGAACTCTCCTCCATTGCTGGTGGGAATGTAAACTTATACAACCACTCTGGAAAGCAATCTGGCGCTTCCTCAGACAACTAGGAATAGCGCTTCCTCAAGATCCAGCTATACCACTCCTAGGCATATGTCCAAAAGATGCTCAAGTACACAGTAAGGACATTTGCTCAACCATGTTTGTAGCAGCCTTATTTGTAATAGCCAGAAGCTGGAAACAGCCCAGATGCCCCTCAGTGGAGTAATGGATACAGAAATTCTGGTACATCTACACATTGGCTCACTCTTGAAATCAGCTTTAAAGTATTTCCGCACATAACAAGGCAGATTGGGGGAACTGTGAGGGGTCTGGTCAGAGTTTGGTGCTAATAGATTCATTAGTCTCTTGAATTTGTCCTCCCTCTTGGTGTAGTAGCAGATACTATTATAGTCTGTGGTGGGATTGTGACAGGGTAGCCTCTGGAGAGGACAGTGCCTATTTCTACATCCCTATATGGGGCTGTGGGTAGGTGGCTTGATTGGTGCTGAGCTATGTTAGACTTGGTGTCACCTCCAGACCTATCTTTTCTAGATCTGTGTGCCTGCTTGTGCTTGCGAGTCTGTCTATCAGGAAGCCACCTCAGTGATCTTTCTACTTGCTAACGAAGTAGTAACACAGGAAGCATGGGTTTTAACCCTAGGAAGGATTTTAATTGTGGAGACCTTTGAGTTTGGTTTAACGATTTAACAGGATTTAGTTTACCTTGATCTGGGCCATAAGAAGTGCTTCTTCTCTATTTTCTGAAATGTCTGTGGAAGACTTTATGTTTCTGCTCCAATCTGAGAGAACTGGAGAAATAGAATTTTTACTTAGAGTTCACATGCAGTGATGAAAGGATCCAAGCTTGTGGTCTGGATCCCTGTATTCCTTGGGGTTCTGGCTTCACAGAAGTGGGGATACATCCTTCCAGCTAGCACCAGGATCTTGAGAATTTAGAGGCTGTGGCCGAAGTCCTGTTATGAGGGTCCAGCTCCAGCTCTGCCACTCACTGGCCAGGGCCTGAGTCCTGACCTTCCCTGTGAGCTTCCTCGTCTGAGGTTGGTGAGCCGCTCCTCTGTGAATCGATACATGAACCTGTGACAGTGCCCAGTAAATGTGAGCTGCTGTCATGGGTGGGTATTAAATAGGTCCTTAGACTTTGACAATGAGATCAGAAAATACAGTGTCTAAGGCTGAAATGGGTACCTGAGAATGAGTGGCTGTAGCTATTTTTTGGTAGAGATTCAGTTGAAATTGTAGTTTTAAAATTTTACTGAGGGGTCTGAAAGAAGTATAAACAGAATGGAGGAAAGAAAGCCCAAGTTTATTTGGCTATCTTTTTGTTACACTGTGGTGTCAGCTGAATTGTCAGTAGGCTTTGCTGTGGTCAGGTGAGCAGTACTCGCTCGGGGAGTTTCCCACTGTACTGAATCCTAGGTTCACAGGGAGAGTCATATTTCACTGGGATGAGTTGCTGGCCTGGGTGCTGGCTCTCTTGAGAGCTCCTCAGGTACTCTCATGGCTAGCATAGCCTAGGATTTGCTGCCCTGGGTAGTTTGGGAGAAATGGCATTCTGGGTGTGCTGATCGTGGCTCAGAGGGTGTCATCGCCGTTGGAGTTCCTACCGTGTGCAGAGGTTATCCCACCCGTTCATCCTTCCCAGCTCTGACCCAAATCTGGTGGTGTTCTTTTTCTGGCCTCTCTCACTGAGGATGTGTCTACTTTCTGTGGCAGAGAGTTTGAGTTGGTCTTGGTGTGCTGGGCTTAGAGGACATGGGACATCAACGAAGCTTTGGCTTATTCCTTTCCAGCTTGTTGTAATAGGGTCACTTTACGCTTTAATCTGTCTCACTTATGGTAGCTGTCTTCCTGGAGCATCTGTGCCTCGTTGTCTTTACCCTGCAAATAGCAGTTACACGATGCATGGGACAGAAGCGTAGGTTGTGGGCGTCCCCCTTCCCACGCGTGATGCTGCCCCTCCGTACCACTCCAAGTATCTGGAGAAGAATCTCAACCGGAGAGTGAATACACTGGGCCCTGTCGCGAGGCGGCCCGGCCACTCTAGTCTCACTGACCCACTCCCATGCTCTGCTACCCCAGGCCCTCTAGAGATTCATCTTGAGGGGTATTGGCCCTGAGAAATGAAGACTTTTATTTGGCGGGATACTGGCAATACTTTCTGGCTACTGTGACCTTTAGGTTTTGAATATTAATTTCTGAAGGCCTTGATAAGATGAATAGCTTTACACCTTATGCAGCTCTGAATTTTAACATCATGTGTTAAAATCTTTCCTTCCAGACACAATTGCCAGTTGGCCTTGTTTACATTTATATTTCAGAAATCATTTGCTAACTTAAGTAGGAAAGAGGATGGCCTTGCTTTTTGCTTGCTTGGGAAGTTTACTTTTGATTAAAAACTGGGGTGCATACATATTCTGTTGTTACAGCTCAGCAGTGATTTATTTTTATGCTGTAATCCTTAAAGATGAAAGTAACATTCATGAATATTGTCAACACTGCAGGGGCTTTTATTAAAATCTATAGTACTTGTATTCTTTGTGTTTATCTCTCTCTCTTTTTCTTTTAGGTTTTCAAAACTCTGGGCACAGATGTTGTGAAATCCGCATTTGAAGGTTATAATGCTTGTGTCTTTGCATATGGGCAAACTGGATCTGGGAAGTCGTACACTATGATGGGGAATTCTGTACGTTGTTTAATTGTTTATGTGTTGTGTGAAAAAGTTTTTTATTATCTTTTTCTGGAATGATAGAATTATCTGCTTGGTCTGCAGCAGCATTTCCTGCTCTGATCTTCCTTTAATAATAAGATAAAACTCAGTAATAAGTTGAACTAAATTTCCTTGGAGAGATTTGAAATTAGAAATAGTTTTACGTTATAAGCACGAATAATGGGTGCAAGTCCCAGTTCGTTTCTGCTTTTAAAGGCACTATAATCTTATCAAGAAAGTAATTTAGTCTTCTTTTATGCCAGCATAACAGTTTGAATAAAATTACCAAAGTCTATTCTTTTTAAAATTATTCAGAACATTTTCCCTAAGAATACTTCAAAAAGGAAACTCTAACTTTTTGATGGAAAGGTGTTATATAAGTCCAGCAAATACATGAGAAAGTTGCCATTACAGAGTCCTTACACTTTATATGGTTATAAACACAACATCTACAGTTTATTAATTAGTCAATGCAGATTAACAGCTACTTAACGTTTATTTGCACCAGAATATAGCGGAGTGAGATGTAAGCATAGGACATCTATGGTATGGACATATGGTACGTACCTGTACTTCTCATTTCTTGAGAGGCTGATGCAAGATGATCACAAGCTTCAGCCTGCCTGCCAGTCAACCTGGGGAGGCCATGTCTCAAAAAGAAAGAAAGAAAAGAAGAACTGGGAATGTGACTCAGCAGTGGTAGAGCTCAAGGCCTCATTGGCTTTCTAATAACACACAAAACAAACAAACAAACAAAACCTACAAAGGGCTTTTTAAGACTTGGACAGTGATGTATATTTGTTTTTGTTTTTTTGTTTTTTTTCATGTGGCAGCAAGAGCTCTGTGCAACACTGCCAAGCCTGAGGAGCGTTGTAGATGTAGACACTGTGAGTAGGTTAGGGCTCCCTGCCAGGGGACACAGTCGTGCCTTCAGTGCTCAAGGTGTGGTGATCCGTGGAAGTATGGCATTGGAGGGGACGTCATCTCATGCCTGGAACCTCCCTTCTCAACCCAGATTTTTTGTTTACATGGGAAGTGCAGCACAGAGCTGTGCCTCAGAGTGCTGGAAGATAGGAAGAGCAAGGGAGAGAGAAAGAGAGCACTCCTCAAATTTTCCATTTTATCTTTTACTGTTACTTTTCCTCTTTGTTTTCCTACTGAACTTTTGAAAACAAAAAAGCTCTAAAAATTTAATTTGCATGTCAGTTCTCTGCCATCTACTTTATATAATACATTTACAAAGCGCTCCTAAATGGTGGGTGCTTTTTCTCTGTCTTCACAGGTAAGTAAGTATGTCTTCAGTATTTACTTATTTAAAGTCAGAATGAAAACTGTGGTGAAAGGCTGTTTTCCTTGGTAACAGTTTACCAACTGAATGGTAGATAATTAAAAGAAAAATTACTTTAAGATAGCAGTGTTGGTTCTTATATGCTTTCAGCTGAGAGTTGAGTTTCCAGGGAGAGCATTTTTCCTGATAGAGAGTATCTTAGTTAGGCTTTCTGTTACGATTAATGTACACCATGACCAAAAGCAAATTGGGGTGAAATTTATTTGGATTATGCTTCCATACCCATAGTCCATCTCTGAAGGAAAATACAAGAACTCAAGACAGGGCAGCAACTTGAAGGCAGGAGCTGATGCAGACCATGGAGGTTTGTTGCTTACTGGCTTGCTCATCATGGTTTGCTCAGCGTACTGTCTTAAAAACCTAGAATTACCAGCCCAGGAGTGTCCCCACCCATAAAAGAGTGGGCCTCCCCCATCAATCACTAATTAAGTAAATGCTTTTGTCTGCTTAGAGCATGATTTTCTGAAGGCATTTTCTCCAGTGAGATTCCCTCCTCTCAGATGACTTTAGATTGTGTCAAGTTGACATAAAATTAGCTATTAGTCTACAGAGTGTGGCTCACAGGCTTGTTCATGCATACTAACTATGCTTAGTGATAAGGTGGATTTGCCCTTTGTAAGGGAACTCATACAGGGTTTGCTACACCAAAGAAAGGCTGTCTTCCATCGTTTAATATGCTTCTGCCACCTATGTTCTAGGATGGCTATCTAAGCAACTGGAATCAAAAAAGGCTTTTCTTCTTTTTTTTTTTTTTTTTGTTTATTTTCTGCCTGTTAGTATTATGCTTGCGTTGTCATTGTGCTAGATATTTTTAACATTTATTCTACATTATAAACCATCTTCTTTGATAGAGAATAGTCTCCTTATCTTCACAAGCCATTGTTAGTTGGTTTAATATCTGATAAACATTTATCATATACATCCTAGCATTTAGAAGTTAGAAGGCATTATCCTTTTATATCTGAGAGACAGAAGTAGTTGTGTAGAAGCACTTGGAAGGTCTAGGCTTGGCACCAGGCCCCTGGAGCCCAAGTCCATGTCAGTAAAATGCAAATTCATTGTCTGTATGCTTCTAGTTTGAGTGATGGCCTTGGCACCCTTCTTCTCCATTTCAGGGCGATTCGGGATTAATACCTCGGATCTGTGAAGCACTCTTCAGTCGAATCAATGAGACCACTAGATGGGATGAAGCCTCTTTCAGGACAGAAGTCAGGTAGGACCGTGACCTGAGGTGTAAAGCTGTGTGTGTGGGGGGTGGGGGGACCCAGGCTGTTGACTTGCACAGAGTTCTGGGAGAGAGGAGGATAAGGATGCTGATTGTTGAGGAATGAGCCTGCCCGTTCCTTACCAGAACTCAGTGTTAGTTAGGAATAAAAGGGAAACTGTGAGGGAACAGTTTGGGTGTGAAAAAGCATAGCTTGATGGGAAGCTTTAGTATTCTATTTTTATCTCAAATGGAGTGAGCCGTTGACTACCATGAGCGTATGCAGTTAGGTTCAGTCTCCTGACTGAGGAAAGTGTGACTACTCATCATAGTAGGATCCTGTCAGTCTGCCCTTCACATCATTCTGGGGGCACCGAGCACTTTTTCCTCTCTGTCACTGTGTCAGGAGCTGGTCCTCAAGGCTCTTGAGCAGAGCTGTGTTGACCTGTGCCATTCAGAGCCACTTGTCCCCGTAGTGGCTGTGACTCTGGGCAAGTTACTTGAAGCACAGCAGTCTTCTCGTGCATCTGTGAAGTGGATAATGAATGTCCTTTGGCCATGGCAAGGGCTCAGTGAAGGACCCTGTAAAGCACACAGCACAGGTGTGTGTGGCTGCTGTGCTGTGGGTGCTGTGCTGGTTATTGTCAATGTCTTTAAAAACATGGTTTCTAACACTCAGCTATGTAAACTTTTTAGCTACTTAGAAATTTATAATGAACGTGTGAGAGACCTGCTCAGGCGGAAGTCATCTAAGACCTTCAATTTAAGAGTCCGTGAGCACCCCAAAGAAGGACCTTATGTTGAAGGTAAGAAGGAACTGTCTTGTCTTCATATGCTCATTCCCTGTTCTTCCTTGGGATTGGTATAAAAAACACAAAAATATGGTGATGGTAAGAATTTAGAAGTTGTTTACTTTTGGAACATTATTACAGTAGGAGTGACAGGAGCTGCACTTGCTAGTGTTCACTTTAAAAGTCTGCATTTCACTTGGTATTCACTAGGTATTTTGTCAGGCTTACCTATCATTTCCTGTGGCTTTAAGAACCCTCTGGAAATGTATTTTCTCATCGTCTCCAACAAGATGATCAGGTCCTGCGCTGCAGTGCTGGTGCCTCAGTGGTGCTTCTATGTCCTAGCAGACTTTCACTGACCCTCATAGGTGGTGGCTGGAAGGAGGTGGTCTCCCACGCCTTGTTTCTAAGAAGGTTCCCAGAGGCATTTCCCCCTGGTTCTTGGCATCTCTGTTGTGATAGGATAACTCGTGGCTGGTCACCCACCTCCTCAGTATGAGGAGGGGGTCTAGTGGACAGTGAATGAATTCACCCTTTCAACTACATCAGGAAAAGTACTTTATCAAGTGTAGTGCAGGCTAAGCAAAAGCTGGAGAGTCACATCAGTGTGCTGTGGAGGTCTCTTTCCAGTTACAAGTACTTTCATCGTTGGGCTGGGTTTCTTTGTGTGCACTCTCCTGGCATGCGTGCTGCCCCATGAGAAGAAATACAGTCCAGACTGGCTTCAGTACAGTTGCAAGAGGTTAGCATGAGCCTCTGTGCAGACAGCTTTCAGTTGTATATCTTACACCATGCAATTAACAGCTGTGCAAGCCAGGGCCATGCAGTAAAGGGCAGTTATGGTCAAAGGATCTAGGGACCATTTCTGGGCTGCAGCTTCATGGTGCTTAATTACAACATTGTGATGTGAGTCCTTTGGGACTCCTGAGTCATGATTGTGAAAATTCATTAATTTATAGTCTCTTACTCATGGCCTTCCCCCACATACACACACTAGCTGAGGGCACAGTGGGAGGGTGTTGCATGTGGTATGGTATTTACAACTAGGCTGTGATAGTTCATCTTGTTGTCACCTCCGTGGGATCTTTGCATTACCAGTGGGAAGAAGTCTCTGAGCATGTCTGTGAGGAGTTGCTAGATTACTTTAGCGGAGATGGGACAACTTCACCCTAACTGTGGGCAGCACCACTCCATGGTCTGGGGCCCCAGACTGAAGAAGGCTGAGCATAGCATTTACAGCTTTCTGCTTCCTGATATGGACACACTGTGGCTAGTGGCTAAGTACTTCCTAGTTCTTCCGCTATACCTTCTCCACGGTGATTGACCGTCCCCGTTTAACCGTGAGCCAAAATAAACCTTTTCCTACATTCAGTTGTTTTATTAGGTATTTTTACCAGAGCTTTGAGAGAAGTAACTAATCCACTGGGTTTCCGGTCACACTTGTGAGGAGGTTGATTTTGCTCTCTTTAAGGGACCTGTACTGCTGGGAGAGTGGCTGTAGGTTTGCTGAAGGAAATGTGTTTTCTTATGGCATTGTTCATGACATGTATGTCCTTCCTGTCAAGAATGGAACTGGGCATTGGTTTGAAGATTTACCTCTGTTTTTTTTGTTTTTTTTTTTTTTTTTTTGCCTTTTAAACTTTTTTTTTTTAATTTTATTTTTTTCTTATCAGTTACATTTTATTAACTCTGTATCCCAGCCGTATCCCGCTCCCTCATTCCCTCCCAATCCCACCCTCCCTCCCTCATCTCCACCGTGCCCCTTTCCAAGTCCACTGATGGGGGGACCTCCTCCCCATTCATCCGGTCCTGTTTTATCAGGTATCTTCAGGACTGGCTGCAAAGCCCTCCTCTGTGGCCTAACAGGACTGCTCCTCCCTTGGGGGGTGGGGAGGTCAAAGAGCCAGTCATTGAGTTCCTGTTAGAAATAGTCCTTGTTCCCCTCACTATGGGAAACCAATTGGTTACTGAGCTACCACAGGCTACATCTGAGCAGAGGTTCTAGGTTATATCCATACATGGTCCTTGGTTGAATGTCAGTCTCTGAAAAGACCCTGTGCCCAGATATATTTGGTCCTTGTGGACCTCCTATCCTTTCCCCATCATACTAACTTCCCTTCTTTCCTATGATTCCCTGTACTCTGCCAAAGGTTTGGTCATGAGTCTTTGTATCTGCTTTGAAAAGATTTACCTCTTAGTTCCCTTTTTTTTTTTGTTTTATCTTGTTGCCAATAGTATCCCATCTCTATTTTCTTACATTCCCATTTGCATTTGTGCCCTATCTCCCCAGAGAAAGGTGAGCAGCTACGTGTGTGTGCGTGTGTGTATGTGTGTGTGTATGCGTTGTGTGTATGTGTAGGTGTGGGTGTTATGGAATACCTATTACTTTCAGTCTAACATGGACCTTTATCTTTTTCTTTTAATTGTTATAGCAGATGTTAAAGCATATAAAAGTGATATATGAAGAGACAAAATAATTAAACAGAGTAAAAACATCTGGATATTGACCTCTCTACTTGTGATCCTTATAAACAATGGATTATTCAAACATTGGAGAGTATGGATTATAGATTATATGAGAAAAAAATAAAGTGTCATCACTTAATTTTTAGATCAAAATATTTGAAAAAGAGGTCAAGGATTTACATGTGAGATATGAAATGCTGACATCACAAGGAACCATGGGTTATTTTTTTCACAATGTTAGAAGAAGGAAGGCTTTTTAAAAATTTGACTTAGAGGAAAAAAATAACTTTCTCCTCATAGTGCTAGGAATCAGACCCAAGGTCTCCTTTGAGCGTGCCAGGCAAGTGCCCTACAGCAGTGGGCTGTATCACCACCCCGAGCTACTGATGGCTCTGAAGTGGGAGAAAAGTGCCCAGCTTGTTCATCATAAGAAAAAAGCAGAAAGAGCCCTTCCACCCTCTGGGTGGGGAGAGAGGGTGCTGGGAGGGAAAAGGGGGTGAGCGTGCCTCCCATCCTCACGGCTGCTGGGAACTGCGCTCTGTGGAGGAGAGCTCTGCAGCAGAGTCAGCAGTCCAGCGTCCTTTGATCTAGCAGTTCTGCCTCCAAGAAGTTATTTCATAGCCATGTTCTCATACATTGAGAGACTGATGCACGAACTATTCTAACAGCCCTTACTTGTATTTGGAAGTAAAATAAAATAAAAACAAGCTCTGTAGTTAAATTGTTTGTTGTTTTGATATAGTCATTTCTCCGCAGCCTTAAAAATAAATACCAGGTCACCCTAACTATGTACTTAAATGGAAAGCCGGATGTGGAACAGTTTTCGTGACATGCTACTTTAAGAGTCATTTTATCCTGGTATGTGGGATTGTGATCAAAGGGCCTCGAGTGTACCACCCAAAATGCTGCCAAGTGCGTGGAAGGGAAGGAGTGGAGGCTTCATATGCATGTGATTGTTTCCTGAAGGGGATGGGGGCTGGTCACTCTGCTTGCCTGGCAGAGGGGAAGGACACTTTGCTCTAGGGAAAAACGGAGGAGCCCTGTAAACTTTTAACTCTGTGAGCTACTTACCCTTCAAGAAAAAAAAGAGACAGTAAAAATAGTTTAGTGTTTAAACATGTTTTTAGGTTTTGCATGAGGGTAGGGCTTATATGAGGTTTTTCCTAAGCGTGGGGCTTTTATATTCTTCCTTGTGCCATGACTGCTTCTAAGTGATGGCTGTTAATAGCTGACTTTTAGCCAAGGCACTCTGTGTGATGCAGTGTGGTGGGCATTTAGATTAGGTGCTGAGGCCCGTGGAGGCCACACAGCTTGTCCCGCCCCCAGCTGCAGCACAGACCACCACTCTGAAGACATGGGTGTGTGTGTGTGTGTGTGTGTGTGTGTGTGTATGTGTATGATTCTTAGAGGGAAGTGCCTCATTTCCTTCCCTACGGAAAAGGAGGATTTCTTCACCCCATCTCCCTTTCCTTCCAGATTTGTCTAAGCATTTAGTGCAGAACTACAGTGATGTGGAAGAACTTATGGACGCAGGGAATATCAACCGTACCACAGCAGCGACGGGGATGAACGATGTCAGTAGCAGGTCTCATGCCATCTTTACCATCAAGTTCACTCAGGTAAGGGCAGCACGGGCAGAGGCTCCATCCCTCAGGCCGTTCCTTGCTGATCAGCACCAGCTGAGCCCTGGCCACTGTGGAAGGAGGAGCAGCAGCCAGCAAAGGTTGATTCCCTCTTAATTAGAGTTGAACATGTGCTGTGCACTCAGTTCACAGTGATTTAAATGTTCTGATGTACATTCTTAAGAAATACGTAGCAGGCTTCCACCTTGTTCTAGGCGTAAGAAGAACTTGCTCTGTGCCTAATTAAGCAAAAGTTTTCATTGTTGTAAGCACAGTGGGAGATAATGGATGTTGTGGCAGCAGCTGGAGGCCAAGGTGAGGCCAGTGCAGTACATTATCACTCCACGGCCCCGGTGGTGGGGAGTGCGGTGAGAGTAGTAGTTCAGGACGGTGAGCATTAGAGGCAGCACTGTGAGAATCCACTGTGGTCAGGTGGCAGACAGCATCCTGAAGGTGGCTAGGAGTGGCTGAGGAGAAGAATTTGTTACCAAAGCCAGAACACAGGAATATATAGTTTTGAGTCTTCTTGGCTTGAGCAGGTGTTAGGAGTTGGCCTTGTCTGACCACATTGACATTGAGCACTCCAGAAACAACCAGGCATTCCTTTGCCAACCTGAAGATCAGAGGGAGGGAGATGAATTGACTCTCCAAGGCAGTCAGAAGAGCTTTCTGGGCATTCCCCATGTCCTACTTGATCCTACTTGATCATCAGTTAGAGCCTGACTTTACGTTACAGTGATTTACTGGCTTTTTCAGCTTTTGATGGATGCATAACTAAGATGTAGCTGACTATAGTTTCTAAGAGGTTTATATGTCCATCAAAATATATTTTTATTATTTGTTGCATTTGGTTCAAAATGTAAAACATAGGTTAAAGATCTTTGGAAATAAAATTTCTGGTAGGATTCAGAAGCAAGGGAATTTACATTTTAGTATTTCACATCTTTTAAGATGTAGTGTGTCTTATTAAACAATGTCAGTGATGTCTTATATAACTGTTAGTCATGTTTTAAAGAGCCTTTGTGCCTAGAATACTGGAGCTTCCAGAAGAATAAAGCTAATTACTCGTTTAGTTTTCTTTCCTAGTTCCCTGCAGGGGATAGTTTCATATTGGTTTGGTCTCTAGCCATGAGGGCTGTTATTAAGAGTGACAGTGGTTTGACAGAAGAACTGATTCCTTAGAAAGTATGAGAGTCACAGATCGTAGAGTTCTGTTGCATCGGGTTTAATTTGGGATGTTCTAATAATCACTATGATAACTAATAAAGTAAAATAAACAGAAAAAATCTACCTGCGATATCTCCACTGAGAGTGGAAAGTGACGGGGATTTGGTCATGAAAAGCACAGGACTCTTTGTCCTCTTCAGTGATACACATGTCTTTCTGTAGGCAAAATTCGACGCTGAAATGCCATGTGAAACTGTGAGCAAGATCCACCTCGTCGATCTTGCTGGAAGTGAGCGTGCAGATGCCACCGGTGCCACCGGGGTCAGACTCAAGGAAGGGGGCAATATAAACAAGTCCCTTGTCACTCTGGGAAATGTCATTTCTGCCTTAGGTAGGCTTGCAGCTACCCCCTGCCCTCCTTTTCCTCGGTATTGTGTGAACACAGAGCATGCTCGCTAGATGTTTGTCTTGAAACCCAGGCAGTGTGTTCATCTTTCAGAGCTAAATTAGAGGAAGCAGAGACTTCTGAGTTATCTCCTGTTTTCTTCTTCCCTGCAGCTGATTTATCTCAGGATGCATCCAACCCTCTTGTGAAGAAGAAGCAAGTTTTTGTGCCTTACAGGGATTCAGTTTTGACGTGGCTGTTGAAAGACAGCCTTGGAGGAAACTCTAAAACCATCATGATTGCCAGTAAGAATTTAGATATATTCCCAAGCATCAGCATTTCCCAGGAATTAAGTCTAAATGGTTACATTGAAAGTGTCTCCATAGGATGCAGTATCTTTCTTTCTTAGAGAAATGCATGTGTCTTCCTGTCTTGAAAATCACCCATCGTTTGCAGTCTGCAGGTCTGCAGACTTGGGCATCTTGGAGGCTGTACTGGCAGGCAGACATGCTCAGCTTCTCTTTGCCTAAAATACAAGGCAAATTCTTAGAACCTTACACACTCATAAGAGAAGAACCTTTATAGAGACAGCAACAAACAAACAACCCTCCCCATAATAACCCAACCTTTTCCCATTTAAAATGGGAGATGCAGAATTTAAAATTTAAAACTGAAAGGAAAAATCAAGGAGTTTAACACAATGGGAATAGTAATATAGTTTTATGTTTACAGTTGACTGATTAGACACAAGAACTAGAATTGAGAAAACTGTAGAACAGGAGATTTGATAGGGGGAACTCAGGACTTGTTACCTCTCAGCTTTCCTTTCCTCTGTCTCTTTCTCCTTTGCCTTTCTCTCTCCTCTTTACCACCCTTGCCTCACATTGACTGTTGACTTTAAGGGAGTACACCTTGGTCCATCTCAGCCTTAGAGGCCAGGAGGAAGTGGCCGTGGGCTGCAGTGTAGATAGCCAAAGCTCTAGAAAGAAGGACTGAAAATTTGCTGGGCTCTGGGTTTTGAAGATGATGGGTTTTAACAGAAATGTAAAAGTATTTTAATTCCTGCACAGTAGAGAAGTACAGCCCTGAAATTTCATGTTATCAACTGAGAAACCCCTTCCCAATGTGGGGTACCTCACACCCTATCTATAAGTTGTGTAAGTGGCCGATTAAAGATGTGAGAAAAGCACAACGACATTTAATGTGCTATAGTGAACACCCTTTGCTATAAGCTTAGATAATCTTTTAATATTCATTACTGTGGCAATGAATATTTAGTCTTTCCTGTGACCCGGGGTTGATCTGACTTTTAAATTATAAACCAACTTTGTGTTAAATGAAACATGGAGTGCTAGATGAATTATTTTTCATATTCATTCTTCACAGCCATTTCACCTGCTGATGTCAATTATGGAGAAACCCTAAGTACCCTCCGCTATGCAAATAGAGCCAAAAACATCATCAACAAGCCTACCATTAATGAGGATGCCAACGTCAAACTCATCCGTGAGCTGCGAGCTGAAATAGCCAGACTGAAAACCCTGCTCGCTCAAGGGAATCAGGTTGAGTTTTTCTGAGATTTATAGATAATTTTCTTTGAGTAATGGCATCTATTTCTAGATCTTAATGAGACAATTATCCTGTGGTATTGATTTGAGTAAATAAGTACTAAGTAAAGCTTAGGATGAGTTAGCCAGTCTCTCTATCAGCTTCCTATCAGCCTTCGCATTCCTTCTGCACTCTGGGTGGAAGTTTTCATCCACTAAGCCTTAAATGATTAACCATCTAATAGTTATTAATTATGGATGGAAATTTAGCATGCAATAGGATTAGTGGCATAATCTTCATTAGTAAAAAGATGTTCAGATGCTTAGAGTAATATGCATGCATTTTATGACTGCAAATGTATTTTAGCAGAGGGGAGATGTGTTTGAACACCTTTCTGAGTTTTGATCTCATTTTAGCTTGGTCATATGTGGTTATGGTGACTCAGTGGTGCCTCTGGTGTTATGTCTATGGCCTGGACATGATGCTGTGCTCCAGAGCTTTGCATGATTGCCGAAATGGCCTTGCTTCAGGATCTTTTGCATTTATTTCAAGGAAGAAGCTGTGTCCTTTTGTTTCTTATAGTCTGAGCGTGTTCATGCAGAATTATGTATGCTCTGTGAGGACTGATGTGAATGAAGTTCTAGATGACATAGGTACTACTGCGAAGACAGGGGATCCTTGAAAGAAAATCGGAGGTAGCATTTTAAACTCTTGCTGTTAGAATCAAAATGGAGGTACATTGAGTTCTTCCTGTGTTCTTAGGCCATATGTGGACATCTTTAGTCCATCACTAAATGACTCCCTTTCTGTGAACAGGAAGTGCTCAGTGCTTTCCCCATAAGAGCATGCAGCACTCCCCACTCCTGATAGCCCATAATAGTTTGGAACTATGGAAATACTGTTAAGATGAAACCTTAGTTTCCTGTGTCCTAAAGTGAGCCTGGTAGTCCTTTCCCACAGATGGCAGACAGCAGTCAAACAGGACTCCTTGCGGCACTTAAAAGCATCTGTACACACTCGCATTTGTGATGTCAGCTTCTCGAGTGAAAGGGAGTTGTGAGCAGAATGTGATATCAGGAACTACAATTCTTGCTTCTGTTATACGCTGCTGTTGGAATCCGTCATCTGTGTTTTGGAAACACTATTTTTCTAAAATAGGCCTTCTAGAATGATTGATATGTGAAGGACAGTATTTGAAAATACGACATGCAGCTGCTTGTACTTGATCTTTTAAGAGAAGGTGTTGAGGAGTGGGTATGCACACCATGGCACCCATGGAAGGAAGTCAGGGCAGGAACCAAACGGGGCAGGAGCTTATGGCAGGAGCTGACTCAGAGGCCAAGGAGGGGGCTGCTTCCTGCCTTGCTCCCTCAGCCTGCTTTCTTATAGAACCCAGGACCACCAGCCAGGGGTGGCCCCACCCACAATGGGCTGGGCCCTCCCCCATCAACCACTAATTAAGAGAATACCCTACAGGCCACTGCACCATCTTATGGAGGATTTCTCAACTGAGGCTCCCTCCCGAGATGACTTTAGCTTGTATCTTGTATCAAGATGACCTAAAACTGCCCAGTACACCGAGCCTTCTCACCAGCCCTGGCTTATGTTTGCCTTATTTGTGGTTGTGTTTACTTGTTGTTTTTAATCCCCTTATTTCTGTCAGTAGCTAACACCATTGCTATAACTAAGGGAGTAATGTTATTACTCGTTTGGAAGTGAGGATGGAAAGTGTATTTAGGATATATTTTGATAACTTTAATATATTCATTGTGGTGAATGCGGGAATCAAATTCAAAATAAGGAATCTGCTGAAACTATAAATCTTTGAGACATTACCAGCATACTCTACTTAATTAAGTTTGCAATAATTAGTAAAATAAATGTACTTAAATGTTCATTAAAAAAAAAACATTTCTGAGGCTGGGTGAGGTAGCACACGCTGTAATCCCAACACTTGGGAAGACAGATGCAGGTGGATCTCTGTGAGTTTGAGGCCAGCCTCGTCTACAAAGGAAGTGCAGGACAGCCAAGGCTACACAGAGAAACCCTGTCTCAAAAAAACAAAAAACAAACAAACAAAAAACTCTTGAGTAAGAGACTGGAGAGCTAGCCTGGTTGGTGAGGTGCATGCTTATGTAATGCCAGACAGATGAGGACTTAAATGTCTGTGACCCTCGCCATGGTGAGACACAGAGCCCTGGACTGTGTGGACCAGCCTCACTTACACTGTCAAGTTCCAGGCCTAGGAGAGATTCCAAACAAAGGTGGAAGGTACCTGAGGACCAACACCCAAAGTTGTCCTCCAACCTTCCACATATCCATGTCTGTATACAACATCCACACCCACCCACCCACCCACACCCACCCACCCACCCACACCCACACCCACACCCACATACCTCACACAGACCCCCACACACCTGTATACACACCTGTACACACACCATCCTCCATTCAACCTCTCTCCAAAATAATTCTGAATAAATCTTTTTGGGAATATGCCTCTACTTCTACAATATTCTACTTCAAATCTTCTCTTAGTTCTTTGAGAGTATTAATTTAACTTCCAAATTTAGAGTTGTTTATTTAAGCAAAGCTAAATAAAGATCAGTTCTTATTTTCAGTAAGTTCGTATATTGCTGTTGTGGAGATTATGTGCCACGCTTTCAAAAATACAGTTTGATAGAACAGATTTTGATATGTGTCCACCTTTCCCACTATATGAAAATATATGTATGTATATGTCACTTCTTACAGAGAGTTTTTACAGAAGAACAATGTAAGTACAGAAAAATCGCATCATGTAAATGTAGTTGCTGCTCATCTGCCTGTTCCAATCTTGAGAACAGAGCTTCACCAGCTTCGTGGGCGCTGCTCAAAGTGCTCTCGTCAGGACTCACCCTCCCATCCTCTCAAGGAACTTGTATCACTAAGAAGTTCTACTCTGCACTTCTTACATGATTAATGAAGTTGGCCTCTGGGTACATTCTTTTATCAAGCACTTTGTTGTATTTACAAATATTTTCACTTTTAACTTTATAAATGTTTCAATTCCCTAATCTTTCACAAATATATCTAGAAAAAGTAAATTAAAGAAATAAAAATGAAATGAAAAATGAGAGTTAAGCAGTAAAGAAGACAATGGGGCAAAAAGACAGAGGTATAATGGATTCCTCGTTTTTGTAGTTAGAATGTAACCAGTAGAACAACTTTGCAGAGGCTTTAAGAGTGCTGTGTTTGAGACTAGGGCACAGAGTAGACATGGTGCTTGTAGGAATAGGTGGAGTCCTCTCAGTTAGCTCACAGAGGAGGAGAGTGATGCAGACAGAGCCATGCATTTAACTCAAAAAAAGTTGCTTGGTTGTAACATACAGAGCAGTTCTCAACTAAAATCAGACAGGACATCAACTTTCATGAAGGAAAACACAGAGCAGTCAGAAGTAGGGGAGACAGAGCCCCACACATTTGTCGTAGAGAATGCTCTTGTTCTGTGATGGTTAGGCTGGCAGAATTGAGGGGGTGGGGCAGGTGCCTTTGCTGCAATCAGCACAGTTCAGACCAGGAAGGAGGCTGTGGCTCAGGCAGCCTTGCACTTCTTTCCTTGCAATGGAAAGAACAGCTGTACATAAAAGCACCACAACTCAATAGGAAAGGGAAGAAATAGTGTGAGCACAAGTTGTAGAAAAATTGTTTCAGATTGCTTCCAGAACATGTGAAAAACGTCCAAGACGATGAATACTGTTGGTACTATACAGCATCTTGGCAAGGGGCAGACTTTACTTTAGCTTTCATATCTGTAAATTGGATAAAAGTCAGATGCCAGCTGTGTAACCAGGCAGAATTTATAATGATAAAATAATCTTCCAATTCATGACTTTTATCCATGTTAAGATGGACGGTATATAAGCTTAAGGTGGCTCCTGAGAAGCTATACCTTTGGGTCCCTGGAGGCAAGGCACTCCTGGAAGGGGGCGTGCCCCTCACAAAGCTCCTGGAAGGTGTGCCACTGGGTGTTTTCGCTGGACTTTGGCTGCTGTGGCCTGCGGGTTTCAGAACCATGGTGGGTTGTGTGTGTGCCTTTGTGACTCTCCACCCCTTACGTGGTGAGCTGAAGGAGTACGCTAGAGACTTCCCAGGCTCTGCCCTCACAGACTGTTGATCACAGTCCCAGTGCGGCCCACAGCCATCCTGCTGACTGAGTGTTCAGCTGGACCCAAGAAGGCCTAAGAAAGGCAGATAGAAATGAATGTTGCTGCTACTGTGAGAAGAATCACAGGATGACTAAGGAAGCCTCTTCCAGGGAACTTATTCTGTTGTTTTGGCCATGTATATACTGTAGGCAGTTGGAACAAGGATAGTAACTGTAGCATTTCTGGTGAAATAGACGATCAGAACAACCTACATTTATATCAGCCAGGAAAGCACCAACAGCAACTAGAGGATACCCATGTAATGAATACCAAACAATGGAAGTAGAGTCTTTAAAAGGAAAACAAAGGGGTTTACCAAATATTCCAAATATTTTTAAAGACAATTCTAAATAATTGTCTTAAAGAGGAAATAATTAGGATAATTGGCTTATGCCATTTTCATGTACAATAACCCAACATAAATATGGTTCCATTAAATTAAGAAAGATTTCTTGCCTGGGTGCTGGACTCTCCCCGTTTGTTCCTGGGACATCTCAGGCAGCAAGAACAGCACACAGACTAGGGCACTTATGCTCCTGCCACTCAGGTCCAGGATTAGTTAGTAGACTGGTACTGACACCCCAGGCTGTGCACTTGTCCTAGAGTCTCACCTGATTTCTGTGTTTATCACTTCAGAATTCTTCCCTCTGCAGCCTGCATAAGGAAAGGAACGTGGGTTTTAGCCAGGCCATATACTAGAGGCCATCAGAAAGCAAGTGAATTTTGTTTGTGTGTGTGAATGAACTATTAAGCAAGACTTGAACTTTGCTCTTTGTGTACATCAGACAAATGAAATCTTAAAACTGTAGGGACTGAGATGTGTTTGACTCTGGTGGAATGCTGCTGTTATGAATGGCATTTGTATTGTACATGGAGGTTTCAGACTGAATGTTTTGCTATGATAGTGTATGTATTCTATAGATCAGAGGCGTAATGATAAACAGTACTGTAGGACATGTGAGAAATTATTTTTATAACCATTTTTTTGTGAAACTGTTTTGGTAGTTTGGGGAAATCCTTTACACACATCAGTTCTTTTTATTAACTGCTGATGTCTTGGGGATTTAAATTATAGATTGCCCTCTTGGACTCCCCTACAGCATTAAGTATGGAGGAAAAACTTCACCAGAATGAAGCAAGGGTAAGTGATGGCTTGAGTTATTGTATTATAATGTCAACCTAAACACTGTTTTTTAGTTACAAGTTGAGACTGTCACTGAACTCTGACCACCGGGTAGGCCATGTGTGCTTTCCCACTGGTTGGGACTCATTGTCTTCATTACACTGATCTCTAACCCCAACCCCATGGCCACGGTCTGGCTATTCTGTTTGAGACACTGTGTAGTACTGAATTCATGGTGTTTCTGTCAGCGTTCTGAGTGCTGGATTTACTGGCATACAGCACCACACGTGGCCCTCGATGATCCATGACGATTCTTCAAGCTGAGTTGTGCTTAGCTTTCACATACTGCATGCTCACATGTTGGTAGACAGAATTTGAAGGGCGCATAAAGATTGGGGTTGCAGGCAGGCCTCCAGACAGAGAGTGGGCCTCCCTCCCAGTAGAGCACGCAGAGTCCTAGATGAGGGGCTCCAGGCGATATTCACCAGACCTCAGCTCCTCACAACTTAGTGCCAAGTGCTGCTCAGCCTCTGGACAGCAGGTTCTCTGGGAGGGCCCCAGTTAAGAGGCAGGAAGTAAACACAAATGAGGACTGGAACTGAGGATGCGCGCTGTTAGAGGGGTGACAGAGGGCTGGTGTAGAGGTCTGCATTGTTAAGAATAAGCTTCATGACTGAGTGGGTTCTATCATGTTATTATTTTTTAAATGCCCTCTGGGAAAAGAGAAACACAATGAGGGCCATTTAGGAGCTCCCCACCCCCCTTTTTGTGTACTGAAGGATTAAAACAACTCTAGAGGAAAACCAATGGTCTGATGGTAAAAACTCAAGAATCCCAGTGTGGAGATTCCAGTTGAGTTGTAGTTAGAAGTTGTTCATAGTTGCTAGAAAAATTGTATTGGTTTGTTAATATCTGATAATAGTATCAGTGCAGACATCCATTTCTTAGTTGTCATTTTTCTCATGAAATTTTTCTATTTTAGTGTTTCAAATGCTAAGTGCAGCAGAATGCCTGGGTGTGGTTGTTTATCAGTTTCAGGTTTCAGGAATAATCAACAAGTTAATAGAAACCAATAAACATCTTAATTAGCGTGTGTGCTTCATGCTGTGATTGAGATGCCTGCCCATCTTATTCATAATGTTCTGTAAGTGTTTTCCTAGTTTTTACTGACCTTGCTAATTGCTCCCTGTTTTATTATTCAGTCACACTGTAGAGGTGGAACATGTACTTGGATTTTGTTAATGTTTTTAATAAAGATTATTTGATTCAAACACAATGATAAATCCAAGGCATACTTAGAACTTTATAAAGGCTCAGACTATTTGCTTATATTTGACAAGGATGGATTATGACTTTTGTATTGAAAAAATATTTTGGTACAAGATATCCTGATCATGCGTTTTTCTACAAGATCCTCTGTAGATTACCACCCAGCCAACCTCACACCCCTTTTCTCTTTAGAAAACAGTCAAAAACCAAACCGAACCGAACCGAACCAAACCAAACCAACGAACCTAACAACCCAGAAACCTAAAGAGACAAACACACACACACACACACACACACACACACACACACACACACACACA